GTCGTCTTTGTTTGTATGTGGGTTGTATTGGAAGTAGTGTCTGTTTATCTCACCAACTGGGTTTATCGTTCTACATTCCTTAAACAGTTCCATGTCAATCTCATTATAATATGACTTATGTAGTGGATGAAACAAGGACTTATTAAATACATACATTGCTTTAGACATGTTGTTGTAAATCTGCTCGGTTCTCACTGATATAGTTCCGTCAATGGAGTTGTTTACTAGGTTCTGGGTCTTAACTTTGTATTTGATGACATTCTTTTTTGTCCTGAATTTAAAATTAAGTTCCGGTACTATACCTGCACTGAATTTAACTTGCGGTTCGTATCCTGCCTTTTTGCTCTCAGAAAAGAGCTCGGCAAGGTCATGACCATCATATATCAATGTATACTCAGCATGTTCGTTGTATTTCTTTATGTCCTTAAGTGACTGTATCATTTTACATTGAACGGGTTCGTCCTTCTCATTCAGGTGATAATCTGGTGAAGCCTTCACTGAAATCTCATACCCAGAGTTTCTTGGTAACATCTGCCTTAATACATTCAAATTATCGGTTACTGTGTATATGTGGTTGTTCTTCACAATAGCATATAATGTTGGTATATGATGATCTCGTTTGGGCGGGTCATACTGAAAAATCAGTCTCTCAAAAGCATTGTATATTCTGACTTGGATCCTGTAGTGCTCAAAAACTTTAACCATTTCCTTTATTGATGCACCTGATGTTTTAAAACCCTCTTCTGACTTACCTATCAGGGTCAACATGCTCTGTCTGGTTAGTCTGTTCTTTTCTCTGCGCTTTTCTCCCATAAGTGTGTCCTTGTAGTAATCGGTTATGGTGTTCAACCAACACTGGTTTTCTTGGTAATGGTTTACTTTGATTGCTTCCTTTAGTGTTTCGTATTCTGGGTTTAATGGAGTTTGTATGTATCTGTGGAACATGCTCACATGGGAGGTGTCAGTTAAATTCTCGTCCACTGGTATAAAATCAGTGTCACCATCTACTCTGTCTACATCCTTAACCTTGATGCACACTATATAGGAATGGACGAAGCGAAGGGTTTCCTCCATATCTGGGTCAGACATTATTGTCTTCATCAGTTTCTTGAAAACATACCTGTCTTTGGTCTCGTATTGAAACACACGTCTGCCCGATAAGTCTTCTATATAGTCTGTTGTTTGTATAGTTGCTCTCTTAGTCTCATACCAGATCGGGATTAGGGGTCTACCCTTGCTGTCTTTGAAGGATGCTTTGATGGTATCCTTGGGGAGTTTAAATTTGAAGAACATAAGGTCTACGGAATATGCATGTGTTGTTTTGGATTGTTCCGCTCTCACCCTCTTCTGTATTCGCTGAACTGCGGTCTTCTGTGTTAGTCGTCTGCGGATTTCTGTGAGTTTGTTGTCACGCTTTGCTGTTCGCATTCTTTCACCTAGTGGTTTCTTTTCCTTGTGTTTTTCGTATACCTTGTTGTATTGGTCACTTGCCTTTTGCTTTTGTTGGTCTGTCTTGGCATTGATGAAGTTCCTTACTAGTTTGTCTGCTGTGGTGAACTGCGCTATTTTTCTGTCATCGTATAAACCGATAATATTTTTGATTTTTGTTTTGGTTGCACTGTTAAGTCTGCCTTTATAAAAATCATACACTGTCTCTAATGCTTTTACACCGCGCTGGATGGTCTTGCTCATGACAATATAATTAGATTATAAAATATTTTATATTTAAATGTTTTTCTGAAGATAAGTTTTGAAAACTAAATATTTTTGGAAAATTCTGTTCAGAAATATCACTTAAAGAAATATTATAATATATAGTATAGTATTATGTCTATGAAAACCCCAGAGGATATGACAATGGAAGAGATAAGAGAACAGTTGGCAATCTACAACCGACTGTATTACTACAAGCGAAGACAGGAGGAAGGATACATGCAGAAAAAACGCGACTCTGCCTTGAAGTGCATTCAAAAGAAGAAGTTAAAGCAATATCTAAAAGACAACAATATCAATAGCTCAATAGAGGATTTAACCGAAGAGCAACTGGCAGAATTCAACAGCAGTCAGAATAAGAAAGGACCGAAGTATGACATGAATAATGTTAAAGTTGTGATGCCCATGAAAGCAGAAGAATGCTGATTTAATTTTAGAAATAAGATTAAATCAATATTTTGTATTGTAGTTATATGAGTAAACAAGAAATAATTAATGATGTGTATTACGATCGCGCGGGATATGGGAGCAGACAGAGGACCTTAAAGGAAGCACGAGAGAAAGATAAAAACATAACTATTGACGATGTTAATGAGTTTTTCAAGAAGAACGTGGAGGCAAAAAGAAAACCTGCGGGACAGAACAGTTTTGTAGCACCGCATTCGGCATATGAGTATCAAATGGATTTGTTTTTTATCAATGATTTGGAAGATCAAAAGTTTAAGGTTGGTATGATCATGATAGATGTCTTTGATAAGTTTATGCATGTCGTAGCAATAAAAGGTAAAAAAGAAGAGGATTTAGCGAGTGGTATGATTGAGTGTTTGCATAAGATGGGGAAAAAACCTAAGATTATATATACCGATGATGAAGGTGCTTTATCTAAAGAAGCTATACAAACTTATTTAAAGGAGCAGAACATAGAGCACCACAGGACAAGGGCACACGCAAATTTCAGTGAGAGGGCAATCAGAACTTTTAAAGACATGTTATACAAACGAGTTGAGGCTGATGAGAAAAAGGGGAAAAGTAATATTCAATGGACTGATTATATTCACGAGATATTGCTGACATATAACAACCAAATGATACATTCCGCTACAAAATTCACGCCGAAAGAGGCACGGAAACCGAGTAACGAATTAAGCGTCAGGTTGAATATTGCGAGTAGTGGTAAACGTAATAGGCTATATCCGGATCTTGACAAGGGTGACGAAGTCAAGATATTTAGGAAGCGAAAACCGAATGAGAAGGAAAGGGTCGGAAATTTCAGTAAAGGTGTGTATACAATAGAAAGAATAGAAAAGAAGTTAAGTCAAAGTCATTATTATGTAGAAGGTAACCCTGACCGTCCCTATCTTCGTTTTGAGTTGTTGAAAGTGTAAAATTGTTAAAAAAAGATGTTTAAAGAGGAATTGCTAGTATAAGATATGGAAGAAAACAAATATAACAGAGGCAAGATTTACAAATTAACAGACAATGGTTATAACAAATGCTATATAGGGTCAACGACAGAAACACTGTCAAACAGAATGGCGAAACATCGCAACGCTTACAGGAGATATAGAAACAACGATGCCAAAAGAACAACATGTTTTGACATTTTTGAAGAGTTCGGAATGGAAAACTGCAAGGCTGAACTTATTGAAAGTTACCCATGTGCATCTAAAGAGGAACTGAACGCAAGAGAGGGGTATTATATCAGGAACACAGAATGTGTAAATAAACTCATTGCAGGAAGGAAGTGGAAAGAATATTATGATGACACGAGAGAGCTGAAATTGGATTATGCCAAGAAATACAGAGAACAAAATGCAGACAAAGTTAAGGCAAGGGAGAAGGCATACAGAGAAAGTCATAAACATGAAAAAGCAGAACGGGACAAGTCCTATCGGGAAAGGAAGAAGGAAAAAATTGCAGAGCACAGAAAACAGTACTATCAGCAAAACCAAGAAAAACTAAAAGCATATCACCGACAACGAACGCAATGTGATTGCGGAGGGCATTTCACCATAACTCACAAAAACAGGCATTATGACACACAGAAGCACAAAGACTGGCAAGAGAAGCAAAACTTGTGATGATCATAATATTATTAATGATGCTAATAATATTATGCTCCATGTTCAAAAATATATTTATTTTTTCTTCAGAAATGTATTTAAAGAAATATTGTCTATATATGTTAGAATATAATGATGAAAACATTTCGTTTCAATTTTGAATGTGGAGTATGCAAAGAACACAGAAACAGAAAGCGAGAGGTGCTGATGTGTATATTTGATGAAAATATTACTGATAATATTACCTCTTATCTTTCCTGTCATTGTTGTTCAGAAATACTAGAGTATGAAAAGATTTATAGCCAAGATAAATATAACAAATTATGTAAGGCTGAAAAACAAATACATTGTATCTTTAACTTTGTTGATAAATCATACCAAAAGTTAGAGAACAAGAAAAAGAAAGAGTGTTTAAAGAAAATAATAGAACGTTCGTATTTGTATAATCACGCAACCAAATTACTAATGAAGAAGTTTATAAATGATACAGATTTGTTTCATATGTTTGACAGTTATAAGAGAAACTTTATTATGAATACGATGGGGTATTTTAGTTTCCAGTATGCAGAGAGAATGAAGGAAACGGTCACATACAGAACGTGCTACGAAGATTATGTTGTAAATGTGTTTAAAAACATACTTGTGGCATACATAGAAAATGGTTACATTTGCGGAAACAAAATTTTGACTTTCATACAATATGGGAGTATATAGCAGAACAAAAACTGTGATGATCATAATATTATTAATGATGTTAATAATATTATGCTTCATTTTCTGAGATAAAAGTCTTTTCATTGTTATTCTTCAGAAATGCATTTAAAGAACCTGTTGTTTACTTGCTGATGGTTTGTTTACTTGTGGAATCCTTTTGTTTACCATTGCAACATTTTTCTGTTCACATATGGAACGCTTCTTTGTTCATCTGTGGAACACTTCCTTGTTCATCTGTGGAACACTTTTTTGTTCACCCGCCGAATATTCATATGTTCGTCTGCCGACTGCCCTGAACACTTGCCCGATGCCCTGAGAAATTCATTCCGCGACTGCTTCAGAAATAAAGCCACGCAACTAAACCCGCGTGTGAAGTGCTACATGAACTCTGCAAAGTAGACATGCAAAAGAGCCTTTGTTACAGCACAACTCGTGTGTTGAGGTAGGTCTTTGAAGGTGCACTTTTGCTGGCACCGCCGTCTATACATGAGGGTGAAACACTGTTGCAAATCATAGATCGGGGTTGCTGGAAGCCCTGCTCAACCACTTGTGTTTCTGTTCCATGTTCTTGCCCAACTTCTGCGTGTGAAGTCGCAACACTCCAAGCCTCTTCGTGAACTCAAACATGTCCGTCTCATTGAAATAGATGCCACCCGCATACGTTTCCGGCTTGATGGACTTCTGGTCAGCAGTGGTGTATATCACAGGGACGCACATGATATTCTTCTTCTTCAACCACTCGGTTGCATCTGCCATCTTCGTCTGGATGTCAGACCAGCTCACAGTGGACTGGACGAACTTGCACTGCACACAAGCGACGATCAAAGTGTCATCGGAAGCATCACGGAATGGCGACAAATACTCAAGGGCATACTGATTGTGGAATGCTGAGACCACGATGAATCCAGTTCGAAGCAACCTCAGCACGTCCTCTGCCTTGGAGAAGTCCTTGACCGACCGAACCAACTGGCTTGCGTTAGGGACTTTCACCGTCACCTCCGATTGCCACAGGTTGTCGCTGGTGTGCTCGCTTTTGAAAAAATCATTGAGTGTAAAGGTCTGCCCTTCCGACGCCTTCCTCAACACGGCTTCGTAGTGATACATCAATGGCTCCATCTTCTTCTCGGTGTCAGAACCAAGCACTGCGTCAGCGGCGTAAGCCTGTTGGAGGTGATATCCCAGCGGAGTCCTGCAACTCTTTCCAGCCCAGTCCTGCAAAACCAGCGGGGGGAAAAACTGTGCATCTGCATGTGGCAACTTCAATAAAAGACCATCGCGAGCAAGTCGAGCCATCAAGTCTGAGTCTTCAAGCAGGCTGAACCACCGTGGAATGTCTTTGTTCAAACGCTCACGGCTTTCAGAGTTGAACTTGCACTCAGTGATGATGTGCTCCCGTGCTTTAATCAGTGCTTCTTCTGTCGGATCTGAGAGCAACGTGGGGTTCTGCTTCTTCGCTTCATCGAGACCGTCACACAGCGACCTTGGATGACCACAGCATTGAAGAAGGAGTTGATGAATACCTGCATGCTTTTGAGCCGCGTCCTTCCAGTCCTTCATCTGCTTCCAAGTGTCGATGGGTAAAGCCTCGAGCGGCAATGAAATGACTTTCCGACCGCTTGCAGTTGCCGCGTGGTCCAAAAACTGCTGACTGATGTGGGCAAAGACGAAAACCAAGTTGCCTCCACGATCATCTGCTTCAGTCATCAAGGCTCTCAAAACATCGTCAGCCTTCTGCTTCAACTCGCCGATCTCGTCGATGAAGAGCACGAACGACTCCTCCTCAGACATGCCGAGTGCTTTGCGAAAGAGGTTCAAACATTGCTCAAAGCCCAGAAGGGAATACTGCTGGGCTTCCACCTTCAGGTTTGCCATGAGAACATGCCCAACGCTACGAAGAACAGTGTCTTGCTGATTCTGCGATTCCCAAAACACGTTTGCACTCCTGCCAGCTCCACCATTGAAGGTGAGGTATGCGCCCTTCGCCGGCATCTTCAGGTCTGGCAACACCTTGGTGAGTCCGTATTTGAGCATCGTCGTTTTGCCGATGCCCTTCATGCCCGACGTGCCGAGGATCGGAAACTTGTCATCGGCGATGTTTCTGTTCTTGCCCTCGATGGAATCGCGGATGTAGTTCTGCATGATTTCGATTGCATTCGTGCGGGAGCCTTCGACAATCTTTGGGGTCTCTGATGGCTTTGGCGAAAAAGTCTTGCCCTCTGCGATGCTTTGCTCAATCTGTTGACATGCCTTGTCTGCTGTGAGAACCTGCAGGGGAACAAGTGCAAAAAAATCACAACAAATCAGCCAAAACCCAAGCCTAACCTAAGCACAACCGATTTTAACAACCTTGTTTAACCACGCGTGCCTCGGACTGCTTTGCCTGTTCTCGCTCATATTGCAGTGTTTCTCGGGCAAAGTCTACGGCTTTAGACGCTGCTTCTTTGTCTTTGGACGCTTCCTCTATTTCCTTCTGAAGAGCTGCCACGAGATCCGCACCGGAACTCTTTCGCAACTCTTGGCGAAGGTCTGCCTGCAACTTGCGCAGATGTTCCTCGCAACTGCTATACTTTTTGCATGCAGCCTCATAGGCTTCCTCGGCAGTCTCAAGCCGTGGCTTTTTCGCAGGCGGTTCAGACGGCTTCGCGTCCGACATGGCTTTGCACTAAAAGTCAAACACAATATACCTTGCCTGTCCTGATGGTTTGGGATTGAATGCGGTTGTGGACTACACATGCGATGCCCTTCATGATGACTCTACGGAAAGAACCTGTTGGGGCTTGTTCTTGGGCAAGACATGCACAACTCTCCAAAACTACAACCTTTGAAACTAAACCTAGTAAAATCTATGAGAGAACCTTTGCCCATTTCGGGATGATAATACCACCTTAGGGAATATGGATGGGGTAATTGGTGATTCCTTTTCTGGTCTTGGTAATGGGGAAGTAGTGGTGATTTTTGGGTGATTGTAGTAGGGAGTATAGGAATAATCCTCTTATATGGATGAGGTAATCGGTTATTCCTATACTGGAAATGGTAATGGGGTAGTAGTAGTGATATGGTTGGTGAGGTGTAAGGGGGAGTATAGGAATAATCGTCTAATGGGTTGACTGGTGGTATTATTACCCAAAATGGGCAAGGGTTCTGCTAACTAAACAGGCCCCCTTGGCACCACACCCAGGCCAGCATCAGCAGCATCAGGGGGGCCCCGCTTCTCCTTCGAACGTCTCAGAAATACACCTACCAAAGAAACCCAAATCTATCCCAAAACAGGCCCCCTTGGCACCACACCCAGGCCAGCAGGGGGGCCCCGCTTCTCCTTCGAACGTCTCCGAAAAACACCTACCAAAAAAACCCAAATCTGGCCCAAAACAGGCCCCCTTGGCACCACACCCAGGCCAGCATCAGCAGCATCAGGGGGGCCCCGCTTCTCCTTCGAACGTCTCTACCAAAGAAACCCAAATCTATCCCAAAACAGGCCCCCTTGGCACCACACCCAGGCCAGCAGGGGGGCCCCGCTTCTCCTTCGAACGTCTCCGAAAAACACCTACCAAAAAAACCCAAATCTGGCCCAAAACAGGCCCCCTTGGCACCACACCCAGGCCAGCATCAGCAGCATCAGGGGGGCCCCGCTTCTCCTTCGAACGTCTCAGAAATACACCTACCAAAGAAACCCAAATCTATCCCAAAACAGGCCCCCTTGGCACCACACCCAGGCCAGCAGGGGGGCCCCGCTTCTCCTTCGAACGTCTCCGAAAAACACCTACCAAAAAAACCCAAATCTGGCCCAAAACAGGCCCCCTTGGCACCACACCCAGGCCAGCATCAGCAGCATCAGGGGGGCCCGCTTCTCCTTCGAACGTCTCAGAAATACACTTACCAAAGAAACCCAAATCTAGCCCAAAACAGGCCCCCTTGGCAACGATGGTTTTCCCGGCACCAGACCGGGGATAGCCGAAAAACCCACCAAAATTGGTCACCCCCCCCCCCCCCCCCCCCCCCGCACCCCCCCCCCGATAACCCCAGGCTCACTTCGTGAGGTATTGAACGAAGCTCCCACAGGGGGAGCTTTCGTGATAAGCCACTTAGTTTAGCCCAGCCTAGACAACCATTGTTGTTTCATATTGATGGCTTTGAAAAAGCGGAAGGCAAAAGAAACGATAACAAGAAACCAAGAAATCATGCTGAATGCACTGGGGATCCGGACCTCCAACGTGCGGCAAACATCGGCCTAAACCCTTAGCCCAACGCGGCTTCATTTTCTTGGTCCATGACATCCCATTACAGCTACATCTATGGAAAGTGACACTCTGCTGTTCCCAATTTGCCATGAGAAATAGGCTATGAGAAGATAGGGGAAAGAGCCATGTGCGGCAGGGGTCGGGGCTGGGGCTGCGAAGGGAAGCTGCTTGGCTCACCTGAAGCTTTAATCTTAACCCAAATCCGCCAACTTCACGTGGACCCCAAACCCTAAACCCTAAATCTTCTTGGTTTCATGGGTCAGGGTTGGGCTGTTTAGGGTTCGCTTCGTTGGAGCTAGGGCTAGGGCCTGGGTGTTCGTGGCTTGGTCAACAAATAGGGTTCAGGGTTTAGGGCTTAGGGCTTAGGGTGAACAAAGTCAATAAATCTTGCGTGTGCGGAAGGTCAGCTTTTCTTGGTTTTCAATGCATGGAATGGTTGAGTACAACCACAAGAACTCAATTTAAACATCGCTTGACATGCATTAAAGCCCTGCCGTGTGCAGGGACGCAGCGCGCTTGGAAGCGCACAGTCCACACAGTTTCACTGAGCTTCACTGAGTTTCACTAGAGCCGAATCTGCCACTGGCGCTTTATGGCCACTGGGCGCCCATCCCAGTCTGAGCCTTTCTTTGAGTCGTGTTCTTGAGGTGTTTCTTTGTGATTGCGCTCAAAGGGCTGGACAATAATAAAGTTTATGTGTGAGACAGCTTGGACAATGGCAAGCTAAATGGAAGGACAGTCATGGTGGCATGACAGTCAAGACAGCATTCAGGCCTTCTGGCAAACAAGAGCAGGGACTACACCCTGTCACTCTTGCGGGATCTGTGATGAGCTCGAGGAGGCCCCTGGAGAAAAGACTGCAAAGCAATGAACCTGAAGTCCACGCCCCAAGCTGAAAGAAAGCATACCTAGAAAAAGTTCAGACAGACCACGCTTCTAGTGATTCGAGTGACCGGTCTGCGTAACTGCACACATGAGCGACTATATTTCAGTTCCCGCGCACACCTGCTCAATCCTGCCTCAGAACCCCTGTAAAGAGCAGCCGAAAAAGTGTCGGCTGCGGGAAACCGGCAGAATCCGGCTACAAGCTGCCAGGAATGTTGCAGCAGTCATGAGAACTCAGAAGGAAATTCCCACATCTGCCTGGTACTCCTCTGGCTTCTAAGGAAGCCTGTGCCAGCAGCAAGGCATCACTTGCCACTTGGTCCTGATGATGCTCGCCCATGCACAGGGATCTGGGGCACATGAAAAGCTTTCAACATAGTGGTGGTTTTCATGCGACTACTGTCAAAGAGTCGCACATAGTCGCGGGCAATAGAAAGAAGCAACTCCTTCACAAAAAAATTACTGAACCATGATTTAGCCTTCCTGGATGCCGTTCGTGAGGAATGGAACAGGTAGGTTGTCAGCTTAAGAAGGCTCACAAGTCATCACGTTGGCTTCCCTTGAAAACATGACCCGGAAATCGAGCTTTGAAAAAAGAATGCCCACAAGGACATCAAACACGCCTGGTGTCTAGGCTCGGAATTCTTGCACCCCTCCCCCCCCCATTTTGGTCCTGGCTGCTCTTTCTTAGCCATCCCAGGCCGACTAGATCGGCTTCAAGCTTGGCCTCCGCAGCCTGGGACACACGTGGCCACAGAGGTAGCAACTCGCACACACCTAAGAAGCCCTGTTTTTCCACGGAAACTCGCTGGCACATCGGGTACATTCTGGTATCATCAGCTCCAACCTCGGCCTCTTGGATCCGTTGCGCCAATGGCAAGGCTTCCAGCGGCCTATTTGACTCTTCGTGCTTTCAGAACTTGTTTCACCGCACCCCAGAGCTTCTTGCAAAGTTGGCCAAGGCACCCCTTGGCCGACTGAAGGCAGCTGGTGCCTAGACGAAAATGTCCGAGGCCTGGTCAAACACTCTCATTGTCGGGGCTCGTGTGTTCAGAGTTCAGAGCAGGTGCCTCCTGGCAATAAGCCATGCTGCCCTGGAGCGTTCAGTAGCTCCCCTCTGGCTCTCTCCTGGAGCAACTTTTGATAACTTTTGGAAATCAGCCCGAGTTTTCGGATGCGCCACACGCACTTCCTGGATTGATGGAGTTTGTTCTCCACTTCTGCCGTCTTGAGCTGACGCGGCGGATGTTGCGGCCTTCAGAAAGGGAGAACGACACCGCTGCCGCCTCAGCCACACCATAAGACGCGGGCGCTTGCTAACGGCGTAGTGGAGGCTGTGCTGCAGTATCCGACCTTGGGACATCCCCAGGGGCACTCCCCGTCGGAGGGGGAATGACTTCACTCTTCAAATGGGCGGTAAGGCTGAGCTTCTAGCGGAAGGCATTCTCGTGTTCCACACTGCACCCTGCCGTACAAAAATGGGTACAAGGGGTTTAGGGTGGTCAAAAACATTGTAATAGCAGAGTGAGACTAAGTGACAAAGCGCCTAAGTAGCAAGGGACGTTCAAAGGGTCGTGATGCTATCAGTTCCGGAGCGGTGCCTTTCCGCCTGCCGCAGAAATTTCCTCTTCATCTGCGGTTGTCTCCATAGGCTGCCTGGCTGACCTTGGAGTCAACGTGGCAAAGTCGGCAAAGTGGCAAAGTGCTGGCGCAGGCACCAGCACTCTCTGAGCTTATGGCGAAGACCCTGGGTCTCCCTCGTCCGTGCCCTCCTGGAGGACAGCAGAAGTATTGAGTAACCCGTCTCCTCGTTCAAAGCATCAACTCTCCTCTAAGCTGAGCTCGCCCTGCCATGCAAGGAAGCAAATTGTGAATATTGTGATAGCTGATCATAATCTGAGAACGCAGGACAGCGATGCCAAAGCGCTCTCGAGGGCTGTCTGGAGCTTCAACAAAGCCATCTCAGCGCACCTGGCCATGAAGTGTACCGATGAAAAGAGCTTTTAGCATCCTTAAGCAGCCTCGTGGTCTGCACAGGTACTACACAGCACTACACGCTGTGTGGCCCTCCTGCGTCCGAACAATGTCGAACAGGCAAGTTCACGCAGCTAGCAGTTCAGCTGGACCTTGGCGGAATTGAGACACTGGAGACATGGTCACAATTTCCGTCACACCTCCCTTCAGGTTTCGCAGTAGCACCCAAGCCCCCTTTCCCGGCATTCATGGCCCTGCTGTCTGAACTGCCCAGTTCGAGGATCGGTTCGTTCTGTATCGGTTCGTTCTTTTCTGTGTCATTGTCATCCGACCATACCTGACCTGTGTCATGGTATGAGTGTGCGCTTCCCACGTTTCGAAGAACTTGGACAAGCCTTTGTCTTCCTGCTCGGTCCATGTAGGCACGATGCGGCCAAAGCTCTTCATCTGTTGTCATCCTCCAATCATTCCCGATGCTCCGATGGTGTGCTGGAAACCCCGGCAAAACCCTTCAAAATTCAGTCCAAGGATGTCCAATGATGATCATGGGGAGTGCTTGCCAAGGGTGCAAAAAAGCAAAAAAAGAGAATCCGCAATGCAGGCACTCTTCCGGTCTCTCATCCCGTGAGAGCAGCCCACCTCTCGTTCTTGCTGAGCTCGCCGCTCGCGTGCGCCTCCTAGGCAAGACAAGGGCACTGGGGGCCATCCTTGAACTGCATATCGCTGCCACATGCGTCTAAACGTTGCATACCGAGATCGCCTACATCACTGCAGCCGTCACTGCAGCCCCAGGTTTCTCATCTCAAGCATACCGAATGCTCAGACAGCAGCGTGCATCGTCGAAGCCAAACCAGGCCGGGACAACCAGCTGATTTAGCTGGAGCTTGATGCGCAATCGATGTGGAAGCAAGCCGGTTCCACAAGCATCCCTGGCTCCAAGAACCCTTCACCATTGCAAATGCTGCCCCAGCCCTTTCCCAGCCCTTTCCCTCTTGCCGATGGGGGCAGGATCTTGCTCTCTGCCTCTACGTCGCGTTGTGTGTGAAACAGTGAAACCGTATTGCCTCCCGCAGAGCTGAGTCCAATACACCAGTTTACGACATCTCCACATGGAATGGAAAAGTAAAGCTTTACCCTCTGCCAAAGAAGGATATCGACCGCCGTAACTCTGGGGGCGGAGGAGCTGTAGGCGCCTAATCTGGGCGCATGTCTGGAAGTGCCTCGGCCCCAGCAGGCTTGGCGTGAATCTACAGCGTCGAAACAGGAGACAGGGATGGTTCGCTGATTGTTGGTGATGGCTGAGCTTGAGGCCGTGCGTTCGGACTCAGGAGTGCCAAACCACATGTTGTACCTTATGCTGAACCCATGAATTTCCTCAGGCCCCTTTTCACACATGGACCCACATGAAGACCAAGGGTAATTGCAACAAGGATGCTTGTTGCAGTCCACGGAGGATACCCCGTCGGAAACTTCCTGTAACAGTACATCGCTCTCAGCTTTCTGAACTGCTGGCGATACTCCTATACCCAGCAGTGTCCTTCTCCCAGATAGAAAGCTGCTCGAAAAATCCCAGATTTGGAGTTACCTGCATTCTCGACTCGAGTTCAGATTCAGCGCTCTCGTTCTTGCCAGCACATCTTTTTTTGGCCATTGCGAACCAGAACACCAACAACGCCAACAACACCAACAGCCGACGCGCTGTCGATAGGGATGCTGCTACGTTCATTTGACAGACCCTGGAGTGAGTAGCGTGTTTCCTTTTCCAGTGGGCGTACGTTCACGTTTGCCCGCGCCAGCAGTCTCGTAGCTATTTCGGTCCTCCTCGTGGCCAGCGAGTTTTTTGGGCATATGTCCAGTGACTCCGGTGTGACCAATGTTAGTTGAATTTGATCCCACCCATGCTGCAACATGTGTTGCTCACTAATAAAAATTACGCCCCTCAGCAGTCCTCGCAAACTCCTGGGAAACCACACGATGTCGACCGAGTGCTCGCCGTTAGTGATAGGGGAATCATATCCGAAGCTGGAACGGGTTCTAACTTCGCCCCATGCCAGCCGCCAAAGTCCAGTCAGCCGCAACAGTAACAGCAGCAACATTTCCGTCCTTCGAACGTTTGAGTGAGTCTGTCCTGCGCCCTGGCGGGCGCCCGTGAGTATGAAAGTTGACGAACTGAGGCCGACCCGACAACCAGCAGCAACAATAGCAGCAACAGCAAGACCAAAAGAACTTGGGCAGGAGTACTAGGATTTGGGGTGGGCTTCGAAACTGCGATTCAAGTCCTTCAGAACCTCAAATATGCAACAGCCAATTCGAAATTCAGAAGTCGGAGCTGTGGGTAGCTCTGAAGCCCCTGCGGAGGTCTGTGGAGCAGTTTTCCGAGGGAGTCTTCAGGCCCTTCCATGTCACTGCGTTGTCGGAGATTCTTTACAGAGCTTTCCCACTTCACTTCGTGCTTCCTGAAACGGTTATCACACTTTGTGATGCCTTCTTCATTGGCCTTCTGCGTTTGCTCGTGCTTTGGATCTACCGCATGGCATAAAGCTGAGGCCTTTGGTAACACAGGGCGGTTGAGACCCACGAAACTTAAGCTGATCCCGAAGCCCTCTCTCGCAGAACGTTCCAGATCAACATGACTAGACTCCGAGACAACATCTGGTGGAGCCAAGCCACAATGCATCTCCTTGAGCGGAGTAAAACAAAAGCATCTGCCAGCGACATGCGCTGGCACGCCACAAGATAGGCCTGAAACAGATGGGAGCTGGCTACATCATCTCTTCACAGCACTGAAATGCACTGAAGCTCTCAAAGCTGCCGAAGATTTCTTGTTTATTCGAAACTCCAAATATCTGCTTTGTCGGATGTAGTGCAACCATGCGAAGACATCTCAGCTCGGCTCCAGGACTACAGACGCCGAGCGGGACACTCCCGCCCTGCAGTGCACCAGTACTGGCCTTGGCTCCAATCAGGGAATGGAATGGATTGAACGGACAACGCGTCCCCATATACTTCGATATGCTCGCGCGGATGGATTCGCATTCGCGTGTCTCGTGTGGCTCTGACTTGGGACGGGACTGCTCTCGCACAATGTGCGAATGAATGAACTCAGTGGCCTGGTCGTCAACGCTCATGTCGGAACATTTTCTCAAGGCATGGAGTTTCGGGAGCCTTTGCTAATGGCGCCAAAATAACCATCTGCATGGAACTGTCAGATCGATTTAGCATGGCATGCCCCCCAGTGTAGTCGTCGCAACCCAGGGCAGAGCCATGTAAAGATCTTTCAGCCATATCTTTGGTCCAGCCTGGTAGGAACATGCTCAGTGGATCCCTTTCAACCTCCGGACTTTGGACCCGTTGATGGCCCTTCGAATGCCCGCTGGACGCTCGCCCACATGGCCCCCCCCCCCCCGGGATCTTTTGTGCGTCCTGGAAGACTTCATGCACTCCACATGACTCCGTCCTTACTCCCTGTGTGCTGGGATACGGTACTTCCTCCAAGCGCTTCGGCTCATCGCCTTGCAGGCAGCCCGGCGCACGGGCGCTTGGGGCTACAATGAGCCCTTCCAGGCATGCCCTCACATGGGTCCGGAACGCCCTTGCCTGTGCACCCTGGCAATAAGTGCAAACCAAGAAGCACTCCAAAAACTTACGCAAAGTGGCGCGGAATGACCCCCTATGGTCACATATGAACCATTCATGGACCCCGAAAGGCTAGCTCAGGTGATTTCTCCAGGCTGCCGCAGGCCGTGGCCGCGTAGCGTCAATATTACACTGGATACAAGGGATTTTGCTATGTCCCATGATTTCAGTCATGATCACCTGGGCTGTGACATTGCTTTAGTCATGTTCGTTAACGTCCGTGTACCAGGATCTTCGGATGTTGAGGTGCTTGCGACTCTCCTGGCCTCTTGCAGGAAGTAATCCAGAGGCTCTCTCGACATGTCTTCAACATCAACTCCTTGGTATGCATGTGATTCAGCAGATCTGGGCGCACTTCCGCGCGTGTTAAGGCCACTGCTGTAGTACGACACCCCGGGAATAAACTGTGAGTCCGGGAACTCGATCCTCAGAGTGCCACCAAGTCCATCTTGCAGTTAAGTTTATCAACAGCTAAACTCAACATCCAGGTGCCAAGCGTTCTACAGCAGCAGCAGATTGCACCCAATCCCTGACTTTGGATGCCTCGGCACGGCACAGGATGCATCGAACATGCCGGGCTTTGCTTTACGCTATTTTGCAACGCATGTTATGCTGCAGGCCAACTTCCGAATCTTTGCCATGCAGGTATCCGAGATTCGAACCTTCCACATCGGTTGCCGCTGCCATGCCACCCAGGTACAGGTAGGGAAGAATTTGGTCCTGGGAGGTCGACAGGAAACCAAAGGCGCAGATCAATTGTGCTAGCTGCTAGCTGGGGTCCGTGCGCAGTTGGGCAAAGTAATTACCTTTTCTGCCTTCTTCTTTTTCTTTGTTTTTGGCTTCACCTTTCGAGCACTCTGTCTTTGAGCTTGCATCCAGGGTCAATGATCAACGATTCAATGTCCACAGCATCGTTTCCAAGGTGGACGACAGTTCTTCCCAGCTTCGGAAGCAGGACCAATTTATGGCTTAAGGCTCCCTAGGCATGCTACACAAACTCACGCATCCCTGCCTCGCCGTTGCCCTCCTCTTGAGGTCCTTCCTCGCCCTCCGCCCCATCCTCTTCTTCGTCGTCCTCCTCCTCTTCCTCGTCTTGCTCCTCTTGAGCTCCATTCTCTTCTTTCGGTTCCGGCATTAACTCTTCGGCCAGAACGGTCGCTGATCTGCGGGACGGAGAACTCTGGCTGTGCAGGCTAATTTGCCTGATGAGACCAGTGTCCTGCAAGCGGCTGCTGCAATGCGAGATTGACATGAGTTTGCAAGTGCAGGGCCTCTAGTAGCTTAAAAGCCTTGCACGTAAAAATAGGCATGTGCAAAACGCCTGACGTCATCAAGCATGATGGCAGAAACCCAGCTAAGGCACAATATGACATTCAAAGGTTAGCAGCTTCAAACGCTCACATCTTTTTGTACAGAAAACAAGTTTCCTTGACACATATACCATCAACAAACTTGCAGTATCAGTTTGTATGTTAATGAATAATGGACTCAATGGCTCGCGGCACAAGATCTTTGGCATCTGCCTCGTCAAGAGGGAAATCGTCGTCATCCGGCAGCACGATTTCTACCTGACAGCTGATTGCCCCCGGACTCCCGACACCAAGAAGCCTTCGACATCTTGCGAGTCTCATGCACACAAGCCGCCTTTATGCCAGGAAATGCCGAAGCAGCCGACGCATCGGAGCCACTGCTCGGAACAGAATGAACCTCCCAAAAATGCAGGCTCAGAGCATGAGAAAAGCTGTCCGGCACGATTTGCCTTACAGATTGATTCTCATGCTGCCCTACTCCTGAGCTAGTTTAGGGTCATCCGGTCAGTTGAGGAAGACTCCCTGTCGGGTTGAGGAAGACTCCCTGTCGGTCCTGAACATTCCTGGACCACGTCTGCAGCTGGCAGGTTCCAATGCTGGGGAGGGTTTACGTATTGCTTTGCGCCTAAGATCTGCCAAGGTTGCTGGGCCACTTTGCGCGGCCCTTTCGCTTGCAAGGCAAAAGTCGCCAGACATTGAGGGGGTGGTTGGGGACATTTGGTTGGGGAAATTGGCGGACGGGCTGCTGAATTCGGCACTGTTATAACAGTCTGTTAATTAAACTGCCCGCTTACATGGTGTTGCCGCTCGTTGCCTCCGGCTCGCCTGATTCGTGATGACTCGGTGCTGCCTCTGGACACGGTCATGACTCATGGAGAATATCACACGACAACTGCGGCTCAAATGTGCATGTTCGACCCAAAGAAAAAGCCTGCCTGCTCCACTACATCATCAGTGGTGGTGGCAGTTTGGACCTCTTTTGCCTGTGCAGTTCGTACCCGGCAGGAGCAACACAAAGCAATTCATCTGCGAGTTCTTAGTTGCTAGCTAGCTGGTGCTAGCTTGATGTAAATTCAGCAGCAACAAAGCAAATGATGGCCTCGTCTGTCAGGTCGACTGTGTCTGGCGCTGCCGTGGCCTCAGTCTCGACTTCCTGCTCCTGCTGTCAAGTCGGCACACTGGCGGCACAAAATGCCCACATGGCGTAGCTGCTGCCATACTTGAACGGCATTTTTGCGAACAGTGCCGAGCCTGTTGTGGATCCAGACAGGTGGCAGGCAGAGTGGATGCCTTCTGCAATGCTGTCTGCAGCATCTGTCACACCCCTGCTGTACATGCAACTACCAGTACCACTCGGCCACTCGAGTAATGGTATACCAGCAATCCCCCTAGCAACCTGGGTCAGATGCCGGCAATTCGCACAGCATGAGCGCTGTAACCATCCGTAAACAACAGCAACATCTTCAGATCAGAGCCCGATAGATCCCTTCTAGCTCTTGGGCTCGACTCTGGGAGTCTGATCCCCATGCTGGGCAGCGTGCTCATGAAATCGCATGAATACGAAGCACTAAGGAAGCATGGTGCTGCGTAGACCCCGAACGGAGCATAAGGCCCCTCGAAGATTGAAGAGCATCTCAAAAACACTGCAAGGACCACTCCAAGGGTCTGATATTTTTTACGGCCTGCGGAGGACCGAGGTGTGAGCACAACTTGCACGGAAGGAACGCGCGTCTCTCGCGGAAACATCGAGAGAAGGTGGCGCCGATTTCGACATCGCCCTCTTTGCACGTGCAGCGCCGGCGAGGCCCAGAGGTGTCAGTCGTGCGTTTTCATGAGGTACTATAGGAGCAAGTGCCGAGTTGGGACAACGCTATCCGGCCTTGATCTTATCGCTTTGGGCATCTTCCTCAACAGCGTCCTGGCGAAGGCTTCACAACCATTGGCTGTTCCCATCCGCTCATGTTGCGACTGGCTCGCTGAACACAACCGCCTAGGCCCTAGGCTTCGCATCTCACGAACTGCGCATGTCAGGACACTAACTAAGGAGTACCCGATTGTGATTCTGCCAACTGATAGTTCAGCAAAGACGTTGTGGGAGGCTGCTTGGTTCATGTTGGTGAGACAACATTGGCTCCTCAATTGGAGCAAGCCTGTTGCCGGTCTGACAGTCTAACTCTACGCACCAATTCTCATCTGCACTGCCTGTTAGATTGCCTGCACGGTAACGATCGTGCTCGACGTTAACCCCAGCCATACCAAGATTCAATTTTAATCACAGCACCCGGGACTGGCAAGTATCCGCAACATCTACAATATGAAACATGATGTCCTTTACTCGACCAGATTGCTCCATGAAAGTCGCAACTGCAGCATTTCAATACCTACGCTCTTGGAACTGTGCTGGAATGCTAACCGTGTGGCACCGTTTGCTCGCAAGTACTTTGCAGGTCCAGCTGCTGCGTGAGTGTGCCTCACTCCCCTTGTGCGACCCCTTCGACCCCGACACCAAACGACTTCAGGGCTTTTGTGCCAAGCCCTTTCAATCGTGGCCTTGACGGAATCTCTTGAAGTTGTGACGTGGCCGCGGAGGCTTTGAACTCTGAACCCTTCTGAAACCTTCTGAATCCTTCTGAATCCCTCTGAACGCTTCTGAGCCCGTCAGCCCTTCTTTCGTTCCCCGGTTCTTGGCCTCAGAGCTGGGCTTGAGCTCCTCCACGTGGGTAAGAGCCTTTGAGAGAACTTGTGTCCAGGATTCGGGATACGACTTGAGGAGCGACTTGGGGAGGGCAAGATGGAACTCCGCACTTGGACCCCAACATCCATGTATCGGACAGTCTCATATCTCGGGCGGGAAGACTCCACTTAACGTTGTCTGCTGCACAAAGGACAGGAGAGTATTCAGAGCGAAAAACTGCAAACCTCTCTTCAAGCACTTCAAACGCCTCAACCTCAATCCCATCCGTCCGGCTGGCTGTCCCGACGCCCGGAGCATGACCCGGTTTTAGTCAGGTTTTGGCGGCAACTTGCTCGATTGTTGTTCCGTAGGCCTTGAGGCCCTCCGCATCCCGTTTGGATTGAGACGAGAACTGCAGTGAAACCCCAACCCTGAAGCTGAAACTCAACCCCAGCACTTTACTGTAAACCAAAGACATGTTAATCATACAAGCACCCGAACATGGGAGCATTGCGCTTCAAAGCCCTCTCATGACTCCAATGTTCCAGCTGACGGGGCAGGCGAGGGGATTTGGGCTTTGAGGCGCCTTCAGTTTTGTGGGGCCATGGGCATGACTTCTTGGGAAAAGGGGGCACTTCCAGGTAAGCAGCCAGTGGCTCCGGAAGAAAAGCGCGACCTGACTCGTCACCGTAGGCCTGGGTCCAGATAGGTTCCCAAGTATCCTCTGTTCTAAGGGCTAAGAAGGCCAAGGAGGGCATATGCAGAAAGAATTGTAGTAAGTAACTTTTCAGCTTGTTGCTGCCAGGATAGAAGCGTGAGCAGCAAGAGGCTTTCTGAGGCATGTCGTAGCATCGCGAGTCACATTCAAGGCCAATCAGTAGAGCTTCAACGGACCTACTTGTGCTGTTGGGCGAAGGGATGTACAAGACTCAGGCGCTGGCATCAAAAGGAGTCACGGGCACCGGAAAGGGATACTCCGGATACTCCTCCACCAAGCTGAGGATCCCAGAAAGTGAGCTGAACGTGACATGATTTGACTGTGCAGATTGCTTGGGAATCTGTCCTCTCGAGCCCGCACTCCGCAGCATTGCTGCCCCATGTTGGAAAAGTCGACAAAACGATTTGCCGCAGGGGCTGTCAGAGAATGCCTAGGGCCTATGCAATGACCTTCATGCCTGTGTGCTCCGTGAACAGATGCACTTCGCTTTAATGACGCGTTGTGCTTCAGACGTGCAGCCGAAGGACAGCAGGGGTAATCATCACCGGCAAGACACTAAGGGCTTCACTTACGCATGTGCACACTGTTCCTGACAAGGCACATGCATTTCCAGCCGTCAAACTGACCCTTTTTTTCGCCGAGATTGGCGCCAGTACAAAGGTTTGACCCTCGAGTGACAACTGCGGTGAACAGTTGCAGCTGCTTATTGTGCTACTATAGCGTGCATATGCAATGGGCGCAGGAAAAGCTGCCCTAATATTCTGACCCTCTGCGCACCGCTGAAGTCCGAGATGTCCAGCTCGTGCCACAAAGGCACTTGGGCTGTCTGTGCACAAAGAACGACGTAACGACGCGCCATGCTCGGTTTCGGCTGGGCATTTGCGCTACTCAGCTGCAGTTGCTTCATCCGTGGCGCAGCAGCTGTCAACACAGCATTGACTGCTCTGCAGCCTGTCGCAGTGTGTTGCAGTGCTGCTTCCCGGAAAAAACTCAAACACTTGCGGCATTGGGGGCACAAGCCCCAGGAATTTTCCATTGTCGGAATGCATAGCAATGGACAGCACTCTACACGAGGCGGCTAAGAATGGTAAGCGACGTGTCTTTGCCTCGCATCAACATGAGAAAAGCGCACGCGCGCACTCACACACAGACACGCAGAGAGACCTCATCTAATCCAGCCTAATTACCTAATTATTGGGAAGCAGGGTGCCTCAGCCCACTGTGCCCTCCAACTTCAAGGAAAGTAGCTTCTGCGCCTGCGCATCAACGTCACTGGAAGGCCCAGAACTCTTTGCAGCACGTTGTGCCTCAGAGGCAAACTCCATGGGCAGCTGGTCAAACACGTCCTGGACCGCAAGAATCCAAGCCCCTCATAGCCCCTCCCCAGTCTGCACCCCCATTCCCATGTCTGTGTGCGTGTCCTGGCAGAAGCCGTTGATGACCAGCGAAACAGCCTCCTCGGGTGCAAGGCCGCGGCTCGTCAAGTACAGAAGCCTCAGCTTGGTCGCATGAAAGAATGACATGTGAGCGACTGCCAAAACTGGCTCGAGGTGCTAATGGACGCAACATCAGGGGTGTCGCTTTTCAAGTGTTCCCATCGTTTTACAGGGTTTTAGCATCATTTATCCACGCTTGATGTTTGTAGGTGTCGCTTTAGGAAAAAATCCGGCTATAGCACACCCAACGGTTCATTAACTTAGGGGTGTCGCTTTTCAAGTGGTCCCATCGTTTTACAGGGTTTTGGGCATTCGTGTCCACCCCTTACTTAATTGAATGGCTGGGGGTTTTGGCGCTTGCTCATGTGGTGAACATGCGACACGGGCGAAGACACTGCATCCACTCTTGCTGTTTCCTCGCTTATCCGAGAAGCTGCTCTTCGGAGACACGCGAGGTCGTGGCCTGCTCGCCGGTTACTTCTGATGCATCCCCGCAGGCCACGCAACTGCAGCACCACTTGTTCATGCTGATTCTCAGCCCCAGATGCTGGCAATTGAAGCACTTTGCTCAAGCGCCTCATGTTCGACCTGATTGTTTCCATCGGCGGCCTCAATGTACGGAAAAGTGGAGGCCTGCCGACAGAGGCACTGAAGGCATCACACCGCATTTTAAGCATTTGCGCATATAAAGGATCATAAGACAAAAAGAGGCGTTCACAACGGGTCCCACACGCCAACTCTCAAGATCTTGGGCCTCGCCCTTGTTTCCAATCAGCAGGGAGTCGCATTGAGAAAAGTTCCTGTCATGCTCAACAGATCTGTCTCGTTGCTTGCAGATACCAAGGAGGCTCAACCCCAACTCTCGTCAGCTTTCCTCCCGGCACTGGCATTCCCACGGAACGCCACAAGGCCTCGGTACCTGCCAGATCCGATCTCTCCGATGACCTCCCAGCCCTTTTCCTTCTGTTGATGCAGCCCCAAACCCTTAACCCTAAACCCTAAACCCTAATGAGGTCACGCGTTCTTGGAGTGTCCTGCGGAGATTCCCTTGGAGATGATCTTCGATCTGTCACAGGACATGTGACATGAAAGCAGCTGGGTCGGACTGCCCTCCAACGACGGCCTGGTGTTTTTCCCAAGATGGACCATCTTGGTGCCGGTATCTGCCTGCCCCAGGGATTGCCCTCTTCTTGAAATGCCTGAAGACCTGTCGCGGCCTCCTTTTGAGAGGTACCTCACAAGAGCTCGCTTTGCTCCGTGGGTGAAACGTGGGGCTGCGAAGAGATGCTTCGAGTTGGCTGATGACAGGCTTGACATGTCTTGAGACGAAGGCTCTTCGCAGTGCAAATTGCAGTGCACTGAAGGAGTCTTGAGGGGCTGCGCAGCCCGAACATGCACAAATATATACAAATATGCTCACAAGCCTCTGCTGCGCTCCTTGGGAGCCGCAACAATCCCTGTGCCACTCTGGGCACAAGCTCTGCTGCACGAACTCTGTGTGATCTACTCCGATCCCTAGTGCTCCCACGGAATTGATCCCTTCACTTGTGTTTAATGTTTAATGCAATTTCAGGCTCAGCATAGCTGGAGATGTCCAGAGATGTAAACTTCGCGTTAACTTGCCGCCTCACTGCTCAGGTCATGAACGCCTCCCTCGCTACAAGTCCAGCTCCAAGTCCACCGTATCTGCTGCCCATGTGTCCTCGCCACGGATTCCACTTAATGACTCCATGAAAAAAAGCAGCATCCATCGCCTTAAAATCCGGGTTCAACATGCTCAGCGCACCTGAGGAGGAGCTTCTGGCTCGAGGGCCACAGCTCTCGTCGGCGATGTGTCCTCTGTCACGTGTTGCAACAACGATCGTCCAGTGTGTGGCTTGACGTTTGCATCGCTCCTCAGTCTGTTCAGCGTGGTCCGCGGGTGCTGCCATCTCGGCCCCCGTGCCACCTGTCCATGCAAATGTCACTGTAAGCCCATAGATGTGCACGCGTCTACGAGTCCGCTGCCTGATTTGCAGAGTTCTACATCGCTGCCAGGGGGAAGCGGCCTGACGCCATGTGTCCAAACGCAAGTGCGACAACAGTACACAGACATTCAAAAAGAAACCACAGAGCGCCACTAACTGTAAGTATCTGCATGTAGCTGTAAACACTCGCTGGAACTCCAAAAGTCACGTTCTCTTAGAGGGCCTCCGGCACTCGGCCAGAAGGGCATCGCACTCGGCAGCCAGGATTGACCAGTCCTTCCCGCGGATGCTGATCTCCTGGACGAGCAGGCAGCTTCAGCCAACTTCACAAAGCTTCACATAAGATCTGTGGCCTCACGGTGAGGCAACTCGGATGGCTCCGCCACCTCAAGAAAACCAACTGATGTAAACTCAGACCCCAAGATGTTCCCAGAACCCACCACAGAAGTGCAACGTGGATGGAGGAGCTTGCAAGCACGTGCCCTGCACAAGGCGCACTAGCAGCTCAAACGCTTCCTACCGCACTGGTAGCTCGGGCATCGACTTGCTGGGCTTCTTCCTCGGGGCAGGCTATTGCTAGTGAAGGGAAGGGCACAGGGGCTGAAACACAGTGGCGCAGTGGCCTCAGCCATCTCAATGGTCTCCTGTAGCAAGGTCCCTCCGTCCTGCGTTGTCCCAGTGCTCTCCCACTCTCCCACTCTCCCACTCACCCACCCACACACGCACGCACCCCCTGCACGCACGCATCACTGCTGCGGAGCTCTGCCTCCGCCTCTGCCTCACCATCTGCCAGTTCCGCCTCTTTTTCGATGGGCTCGTCAGGATGGCTGGCGTCTTGATCCGAGGGCTCCGAGGGCTCCGAGGATTCCGAGGGCTCCGAGGATTCCGAGGGCGCCCGCTCCTGCGTTCATCGGATTTCATCAGCATCAACGTGTCCATAATGTGTTGCCTCATCAACGACCCCCAGCATCCACAAGTACCATCTCGCCTGAGTCGCCCCGATCTGTCCCAGGAACTCTTCTTGTCGGCGATCCCCGCTGAAGATGCAGTGGCCTGTGTGGGCTACTCTGCGACGAATACGATGTGGCAAATGGCTGCTGCTTGATGATCTGGCCTTGCTTGGAAGGGAGGCCGTACTGGCTTGCACCGAGAGAGGACTTTCTGGAGCTGCCCACACTGGCCAAGTTCGCCATCAGAACCTGGGTACCGTCTTGACAATGGTCTCTCGTCATACAACTGTACTTCGACGCGACTAACTCACGGAAAGACCCAGGCATCTGTTGTATCTCGGCACAATGTTGCGTAAGGCGCAGCAGCCTCCTCGACAACTTCAAGGGCACCCAGGCAGACATGACACGATTCGCTGCGGTGCTGACCCCCGGGGCGTTTAGATCAAGAGCTGGCCAAGGAAGTGGCAAATTCCTTTTCCGTTCCGCCTTGAAGACCCTTGAAGCCAGCCGATGCAAGCCTTTTTGGGTTGTTCTGGAGGGTTGAGAGCCTGCCTACGTCTTTGAGGCTCCTCAGGCACAGTTCCTTCTCTACCCACGACAGATGGGCACAGCCTTGACAGGATGAAATGTTTTGGATCAGACAAGTCGAGTGAGGACATGTCGCGGTAGCTCAGTCTTTTACCAGTCAGACATGTGGTTCACATTATAGCCGCCCGACATATTTCGTGGAACGCATCTGCTTGACACAAACACCTGATGCATGCAACACTTGGGTGATCTTGGATGATGAAGCTGCATTCCTTGGAGCCCTCGCATGCTACTGCAGCCGCTCAAACTAAAGGCTGTTCTCCCATACATGCGGGACGAACAAGTTCCTGTATCAGGAAACAGCATCCTTGCTAACGGACAGTTTGTTGATGCAACTTTGGCTCGGGCTTATACCTTTTATACCTTTCCTGGTGTGGACAGAAAAAGGGGGCGCAAACCGGTGAGGTGAGTTTTCTCCTGTCTCCCAAGCAGAATGCCAACTCTTCTTGCAACCGCAACAGATTCACTGCCATGGCCCTGAGTGACCTTCGACAGCGGCGGTCGTGCGGAGTGCAGATACTGCAGGGTTGTTCACTGGAACGCCTCCAACTCCTGCACCCACGAGGATGAAAAGCTCGGCCAAGGCTGGGCACCTGAAGAGAACACAGGACTCACAGGTTGAAAGGCAGCCTCTCATGTGGGGGCTTCCGGAAATGGGGATCCCCAATTCTTAGAGACCCCCCATGTTGCTTTCCTTGTTCTTGAATAAAGTCCACCCACCCGGCCACCCGAGGGCCGTTTAATCCCTCGATCTCTTCATGGTCTTTCAGAGTACAGCCCCCTGCCTTGTTGGGTGACGGCCTGCGGCCAGGAGAGCATAATGCAAGAGTGCTGAGGCTGCTACAGGCCGTGGGGCACTGAATGATTTGTCAGATTCGGATTCGAGGCTGATTGCTCAGACTGGAAGCCATCGGCGCAAACCGGTATTCTGGCCTCAGGTTCCTGTGCTGACCTCACTTTTCACATGAACCATTCAGCGCTGTGGCACTGGTCTGCTTCATGGAGCTCGAATCTCAGTCTCCAACTGCCGAGCTGCCAATAGTGAGGCTTGAGCTTCGCCTGAGGACGGTTGCTAGGTGAACGTAACATGCTGAAATACATACAAAACACATACAATCACGCAATGTGCATCCTCAGAATTCTGAACATGCTCAGTTCAGCCTCTAAAGAAGCCAGCGCCGGTATCTTCCCGGCGAGGGGATGACGCCTGCACCTGCCAAGGTCGAAGTCGAAAGCGAGTGGAGCACCGCAGCAGAAACTTGCCTGAAACGCGCGAGCATGCGTGTTCTACATCGCGGTGCTTGCTTTTGACGAACCTTCCTACACCCTTTTCCGAAGTCGCCATGGGACAGGGCGCCCCTTCCCGATTTCAGTCTTGCCTGCTGATCTCCCTCGAAAATCCACTCTGGCAATGAGGAATTGCGGCGTAGAACTCCAATGAGAACTCGAAACATAACATAACGCCTTTCTGGCTGCTCGTGGATGAGTCCAGGTGACTCCATCCCCTCCATTTCAGGTGCGGGTGTGCGGGTGTGTGTGCAGCTCACTCACGATGATGCAGGATCTTCAATTTGCTGGAAGCTTCGACTTGCACCTTTGAGGTAGCTCCAGCTTTTGAACTTTGCACTGTTGGCTTTTTCTTTTCTGGCGCTGGCGCTGTGCTTCGTTCCTGATCCTGAAGATGTATGAAATTGTCACTCTCTTCTTCTGGACACGAACTCAAATCGACTCGACATGCAAACCCTGATGATGCCCGCGATGTCAGTAGCAAGACAGACTTCAGGCAATACAGTGGGCGGCGCTTCATGCTGAGGCTCTTCTTCCGCCGACTCGTCATTGTTCCGGCACTCCTCAATTTCGAGGCGTGATGGCACAGGAGACGCATGGGTGGATATTCAACCTGCAGCCTCACAGACTCGCCAGTTTCGAACCAAACTCCCATCCACCAGCATGCCAGTCATTCTAGCTGCAAGCATGTCGCCTCAGTCGCCTCACCATCCTCACATCCGGCCAAGCAAACC